AGTAAAGTGTTCAGTGGAGGTAAACAGTAAAGTGTTCAGTGATGTAAACAGTAAAGTGTTCAGTGGAGGTAAACAGTAAAGTGTTCAGTTGAGGTAAACAGTAAAGTGTTCAGTGATGTAAACAGTAAAGTGTTCAGTGGAGGTAAACAGTAAAGTGTTCAGTTGAGGTAAACAGTAAAGTGTTCAGTTGAGGTAAACAGTAAAGTGTTCAGTGATGTAAACAGTAAAGTGTTCAGTGGAGGTAAACAGTAAAGTGTTCAGTGATGTAAACAGTAAAGTGTTCAGTTGAGGTAAACAGTAAAGTGTTCAGTTGAGGTAAACAGTAAAGTGTTCAGTGATGTAAACAGTAAAGTGTTCAGTTGGGTAAACAGTAAAGTGTTCAGTGATGTAAACAGTAAAGTGTTCAGTGGAGGTAAACAGTAAAGTGTTCAGTTGAGGTAAACAGTAAAGTGTTCAGTGAGGTAAACAGTAAAGTGTTCAGTTGAGGTAAACAGTAAAGTGTTCAGTGGAGGTAAACAGTAAAGTGTTCAGTGGAGGTAAACAGTAAAGTGTTCAGTGAGGTAAACAGTAAAGTGTTCAGTTGAGGTAAACAGTAAAGTGTTCAGTGAGGTAAACAGTAAAGTGTTCAGTGAGGTAAACAGTAAAGTGTTCAGTGATGTAAACAGTAAAGTGTTCAGTGGAGGTAAACAGTAAAGTGTTCAGTGATGTAAACAGTAAAGTGTTCAGTGGAGGTAAACAGTAAAGTGTTCAGTGGAGGTAAACAGTAAAGTGTTCAGTGATGTAAACAGTAAAGTGTTCAGTGATGTAAACAGTAAAGTGTTCAGTGGAGGTAAACAGTAAAGTGTTCAGTGATGTAAACAGTAAAGTGTTCAGTGGAGGTAAACAGTAAAGTGTTCAGTGAGGTAAACAGTAAAGTGTTCAGTGGAGGTAAACAGTAAAGTGTTCAGTGGAGGTAAACAGTAAAGTGTTCAGTGAGGTAAACAGTAAAGTGTTCAGTGGAGGTAAACAGTAAAGTGTTCAGTGATGTAAACAGTAAAGTGTTCAGTGGAGGTAAACAGTAAAGTGTTCAGTGGAGGTAAACAGTAAAGTGTTCAGTGATGTAAACAGTAAAGTGTTCAGTGGAGGTAAACAGTAAAGTGTTCAGTGAGGTAAACAGTAAAGTGTTCAGTGGAGGTAAACAGTAAAGTGTTCAGTGAGGTAAACAGTAAAGTGTTCAGTTGAGGTAAACAGTAAAGTGTTCAGTGATGTAAACAGTAAAGTGTTCAGTGGAGGTAAACAGTAAAGTGTTCAGTGAGGTAAACAGTAAAGTGTTCAGTGAGGTAAACAGTAAAGTGTTCAGTTGAGGTAAACAGTAAAGTGTTCAGTGATGTAAACAGTAAAGTGTTCAGTGGAGGTAAACAGTAAAGTGTTCAGTGGAGGTAAACAGTAAAGTGTTCAGTGATGTAAACAGTAAAGTGTTCAGTGGAGGTAAACAGTAAAGTGTTCAGTTGAGGTAAACAGTAAAGTGTTCAGTGAGGTAAACAGTAAAGTGTTCAGTTGAGGTAAACAGTAAAGTGTTCAGTGATGTAAACAGTAAAGTGTTCAGTGAGGTAAACAGTAAAGTGTTCAGTGATGTAAACAGTAAAGTGTTCAGTGGAGGTAAACAGTAAAGTGTTCAGTGATGTAAACAGTAAAGTGTTCAGTGAGGTAAACAGTAAAGTGTTCAGTGAGGTAAACAGTAAAGTGTTCAGTGATGTAAACAGTAAAGTGTTCAGTTGAGGTAAACAGTAAAGTGTTCAGTGATGTAAACAGTAAAGTGTTCAGTGAGGTAAACAGTAAAGTGTTCAGTGATGTAAACAGTAAAGTGTTCAGTGGAGGTAAACAGTAAAGTGTTCAGTGAGGTAAACAGTAAAGTGTTCAGTGGAGGTAAACAGTAAAGTGTTCAGTGAGGTAAACAGTAAAGTGTTCAGTGAGGTAAACAGTAAAGTGTTCAGTGGAGGTAAACAGTAAAGTGTTCAGTGAGGTAAACAGTAAAGTGTTCAGTGATGTAAACAGTAAAGTGTTCAGTGATGTAAACAGTAAAGTGTTCAGTGAGGTAAACAGTAAAGTGTTCAGTGGAGGTAAACAGTAAAGTGTTCAGTGAGGTAAACAGTAAAGTGTTCAGTGATGGTAAACAGTAAAGTGTTCAGTGATGTAAACAGTAAAGTGTTCAGTGAGGTAAACAGTAAAGTGTTCAGTGAGGTAAACAGTAAAGTGTTCAGTGATGTAAACAGTAAAGTGTTCAGTGATGTAAACAGTAAAGTGTTCAGTGATGTAAACAGTAAAGTGTTCAGTGAGGTAAACAGTAAAGTGTTCAGTGGAGGTAAACAGTAAAGTGTTCAGTGAGGTAAACAGTAAAGTGTTCAGTGATGTAAACAGTAAAGTGTTCAGTGAGGTAAACAGTAAAGTGTTCAGTTGAGGTAAACAGTAAAGTGTTCAGTTGAGGTAAACAGTAAAGTGTTCAGTGAGGTAAACAGTAAAGTGTTCAGTGATGTAAACAGTAAAGTGTTCAGTGGAGGTAAACAGTAAAGTGTTCAGTGGAGGTAAACAGTAAAGTGTTCAGTGATGTAAACAGTAAAGTGTTCAGTGATGTAAACAGTAAAGTGTTCAGTGGAGGTAAACAGTAAAGTGTTCAGTGAGGTAAACAGTAAAGTGTTCAGTGAGGTAAACAGTAAAGTGTTCAGTGGAGGTAAACAGTAAAGTGTTCAGTGATGTAAACAGTAAAGTGTTCAGTGGAGGTAAACAGTAAAGTGTTCAGTGAGGTAAACAGTAAAGTGTTCAGTGATGTAAACAGTAAAGTGTTCAGTGATGGTAAACAGTAAAGTGTTCAGTGATGTAAACAGTAAAGTGTTCAGTGAGGTAAACAGTAAAGTGTTCAGTGATGTAAACAGTAAAGTGTTCAGTGATGTAAACAGTAAAGTGTTCAGTGAGGTAAACAGTAAAGTGTTCAGTGATGGTAAACAGTAAAGTGTTCAGTGAGGTAAACAGTAAAGTGTTCAGTGATGTAAACAGTAAAGTGTTCAGTGATGTAAACAGTAAAGTGTTCAGTGGAGGTAAACAGTAAAGTGTTCAGTGAGGTAAACAGTAAAGTGTTCAGTGAGGTAAACAGTAAAGTGTTCAGTGAGGTAAACAGTAAAGTGTTCAGTGAGGTAAACAGTAAAGTGTTCAGTGGAGGTAAACAGTAAAGTGTTCAGTGAGGTAAACAGTAAAGTGTTCAGTTGAGGTAAACAGTAAAGTGTTCAGTGAGGTAAACAGTAAAGTGTTCAGTTGAGGTAAACAGTAAAGTGTTCAGTGATGTAAACAGTAAAGTGTTCAGTGGTGTAAACAGTAAAGTGTTCAGTGATGTAAACAGTAAAGTGTTCAGTGAGGTAAACAGTAAAGTGTTCAGTGGAGGTAAACAGTAAAGTGTTCAGTGATGTAAACAGTAAAGTGTTCAGTGAGGTAAACAGTAAAGTGTTCAGTGATGTAAACAGTAAAGTGTTCAGTGAGGTAAACAGTAAAGTGTTCAGTGATGTAAACAGTAAAGTGTTCAGTGAGGTAAACAGTAAAGTGTTCAGTGAGGTAAACAGTAAAGTGTTCAGTGAGGTAAACAGTAAAGTGTTCAGTTGAGGTAAACAGTAAAGTGTTCAGTGAGGTAAACAGTAAAGTGTTCAGTGAGGTAAACAGTAAAGTGTTCAGTGAGGTAAACAGTAAAGTGTTCAGTTGAGGTAAACAGTAAAGTGTTCAGTGAGGTAAACAGTAAAGTGTTCAGTGAGGTAAACAGTAAAGTGTTCAGTGAGGTAAACAGTAAAGTGTTCAGTGATGTAAACAGTAAAGTGTTCAGTGATGTAAACAGTAAAGTGTTCAGTGATGTAAACAGTAAAGTGTTCAGTGGAGGTAAACAGTAAAGTGTTCAGTGATGTAAACAGTAAAGTGTTCAGTTGAGGTAAACAGTAAAGTGTTCAGTGATGTAAACAGTAAAGTGTTCAGTGAGGTAAACAGTAAAGTGTTCAGTGATGTAAACAGTAAAGTGTTCAGTGAGGTAAACAGTAAAGTGTTCAGTGAGGTAAACAGTAAAGTGTTCAGTTGAGGTAAACAGTAAAGTGTTCAGTGATGTAAACAGTAAAGTGTTCAGTTGAGGTAAACAGTAAAGTGTTCAGTGGAGGTAAACAGTAAAGTGTTCAGTGATGTAAACAGTAAAGTGTTCAGTGAGGTAAACAGTAAAGTGTTCAGTGATGTAAACAGTAAAGTGTTCAGTGAGGTAAACAGTAAAGTGTTCAGTGAGGTAAACAGTAAAGTGTTCAGTGATGTAAACAGTAAAGTGTTCAGTGAGGTAAACAGTAAAGTGTTCAGTGATGTAAACAGTAAAGTGTTCAGTGATGTAAACAGTAAAGTGTTCAGTGATGTAAACAGTAAAGTGTTCAGTGATGTAAACAGTAAAGTGTTCAGTGATGTAAACAGTAAAGTGTTCAGTGATGTAAACAGTAAAGTGTTCAGTGATGTAAACAGTAAAGTGTTCAGTGATGTAAACAGTAAAGTGTTCAGTGAGGTAAACAGTAAAGTGTTCAGTGATGTAAACAGTAAAGTGTTCAGTGATGTAAACAGTAAAGTGTTCAGTGATGGTAAACAGTAAAGTGTTCAGTGATGGTAAACAGTAAAGTGTTCAGTGAGGTAAACAGTAAAGTGTTCAGTGATGTAAACAGTAAAGTGTTCAGTGGATGTAAACAGTAAAGTGTTCAGTGATGTAAACAGTAAAGTGTTCAGTGATGTAAACAGTAAAGTGTTCAGTGATGTAAACAGTAAAGTGTTCAGTGGAGGTAAACAGTAAAGTGTTCAGTGCTGTAAACAGTAAAGTGTTCAGTGGAGGTAAACAGTAAAGTGTTTAGTGCTGTAAACAGTAAAGTGTTCAGTGATGTAAACAGTAAAGTGTTCAGTGGAGGTAAACAGTAAAGTGTTCAGTGCTGTAAACAGTAAAGTGTAAGCCTCTCTGTGGTTGTCTCCAGGCGTTTGCTGCAGATGGGGGTGTTTAACTGCCAGCTGTATAATAACCTGGGCTTGTGCTGCTTCTACGCGCAGCAGTACGACATGACGCTGTCCTCCTTCGAGCGAGCACTAGCCCTGGTGTCCAGCGACGAGGAGCAGGCCGATGTCTGGTACAATCTGGGTCACGTTGCAGTGGTGAGCAGAAACACTCACACAGGCTTTAGGTCACATGTATGACAGTCTGCAGACGAGGAAGAGCCTGGCCCGAATCAATCCCTGTCCCGAGGACTGAGTTCACTCAGCAGTTCTGACTTACTCTGACATGATTTAGATACTTGGTAATTCATATCGAGTCAGATTCACTCAATGAAACCAAACCTTTAACAGAACATCAAAAGGCAGGTATACTTCTACAAACAAAGTGTAATGACTGTACATTGACTTTACAAATGACTTTACAATTTTATCCCTGTTTTACTGTAGATTTTCTGAGATTTTTCTATATCAGCATAATCAAGAAATTTGTGTTTCTAATAAAATAGCACATTGATTGAGAAGGAAAAGTATTAAAGTTGTGGCATTGTGAGAGGTAGGGTATCATCAAAGTGTCAGTTGGTTCACAAATCGAGTCCAGGCAGAGATCAAGTCACTGGTTTCTTTTAATCGATCAACTCAAAACTCAAAACATTCTTTTCCATAACCAAAAACTCTTCCAGCTTCACTTCATGCTTCTCAAACAAAACAGACCGTCTCTCTCTGTTCTCAGCTCATTAACAGCTTTTCTCCTTCACTCACAACAGCTGCGTCCCCACCCCTGAGGAACCTGGTAACTGTAGTCTGGGACGAGGTGGCCATCTTGGTTTGTAGTCCCCATGGCGTAACCACCTAGATGGCACATAATTGTCTCTATGACATTCCCGCTCACGATGTCACAAAGTATTAAATGTTGCCATTGTGTCCAAAGCAGAAACATTGGATACACTTCATTTGTACTGAGTAATACGAATTACCTACATGTACTTTAGAGTTATGGTTAGGGTACGGTTTAGTTACTTGCAATTACACATAAATTACTGTTGGATAAGTTACTAAAAATAAAGTGTTACTTAATTTGATGGATAATCTAATTCCATGAGTCAAGTTATTAATCATATAGATGTGTGTGTTGCGCAGGGCATTGGTGACTTGACTCTGGCTTACCAATGCTTCAAACTGGCCTTGGCTTTCAACAACAACCATGGAGAAGCTTACAATAACTTGGCCGTATTAGAGCTACGGAAAGGCCGAATCGAGCAGGTCAGTTTAGTCTAACAGTCTCATGATAGCTAACGTAATCACCACACACACACACACACACACACATACACTACACGGCATTTGCTCAATGTTTCTTGAGCTTGTAAATCTGAATCAGTCAAATTGAGGTTTGTGAACTCTTGTGTCAATACTCTGCCCTAAACTGGTTCAGGTGTGTTCAAACTGCCCTCAGCTCTCCCAAGGGTGAATCTTGCCACCATTTTAAACAGTGCTGTAACTGGACTTGTGTTTTGTCCCAGGCGAAAGCTTTCCTGCAGACGGCTGCTGCGTTGTCTCCTCACATGTACGAGCCACACTTTAACTTCGCCACACTCTCTGAAAAGGTACGATGTGTGTTACAGTGTGTTACTCTGTGTGTGTTATTCTGTGCTGTGTTAGTCTGATGTGTGTAACTCTGTGTGTGTGTGTGTGTGTTGACTCTGATGTTTGTTACTCTGATGTGTGTAACTTTGTGTGTGTTACTCTCTCATTGTTTTAAGACTATATTCCTTCTTTATGTTTTATTACCTTAAACTATAATTATTACTAATTGAAACGACAAAAATGAAGCCATATTTAAAGCCTAATTTACAGTAGGTGAGGGGTATATTTCCAGCTAAATGTCTGTTTGTGCTGAAGGTTGGAGATGTTCAGAGCAGTTTCGCGGCCGCTCAGAGATCTGAGGACGCGTTCCCTGAACACGTGGACACTCAGCAGATCCTGAAGAACCTCCGACTGCACTTCTCCACGCTATAGCCCTCAGCGGATCCTCCAGCAGACACATGCATGTCTATCACCCCTGACATGACTGTAGAGCGCTTTGGGTGAACAGTAGTGCAGATGAGGAAAAAACGCTTCAGAAATGCGTCATTCATTCATTTACAAAAATTAAAATGATCATAAAAATGGCATTGTTTTGTTAGTCCTGCTTTGAGGCGGCTCCATCACTATATGTATATTACATTTACATTACATTTAATCATTTAGCTGACATTTTTATTGAAAGTGACTTGTTTAAAAGAGCAATAGAAGTCACGATACAGTCAAAGCAACATTATTCAGACACCTTCAACATTTCTCACATTATCAGTTTATTCGCTATAGTTTAGAAAATGGTAATGAAATATGAGCAGAACTCGGAGTTATCAGATCAGTTGGGTCTGTGTACTTTTGATCATTTCTTTTCCTGTTTGGAATGGAATAACGAGAAATGAAAACCAGCTCGTTTCTTCAGGTGTTTTAGTTTAAAGGAGCCGAATCATGTAAGATTCTGGCCAAAACTGGTACTGCAATCACTTTCAAATGACTGTAGAGCGGCGTATCCCCTCCACCCTGTCTTCAAAATATGTTCTTTTGTGTTCCAGAGGAGAAATCATGGTTACGGTTGTATTTCTATTTGAGCTCGCTCCGGCACAGCGACAAACCATTCTCGGCCCGGAATTGACCTTATGCACAGCTGCGCTACAGCCTGAACTTCAGCCAGCTCATTGTTTCCTGTCTGCCATTATTGGCCGAACTTGATTAATTCAGGTGTGTCTGATTATTGTTGCCGTGACTACTGAGGTCAAGCACACCTGAATTAATCAATTTGGCCAATAATGGCAGACAGGAAACAAGGAGCTGGCTGAAGTTCAGGAAGTAGCGCAGCTGGGCATAAGGTCAAATCTCAGCACGGTTGGCTGAAGCGTGTAGTGCGTATGTTGTGATGTAGCTGATAAACCTTTCTGTTTCATTATGGAATTGGACTCAGATCCACCATTAAAGCATGCTCAAATCAGTGTCATAACCATTAGTTTACAAACCTCCATATGATGAGTCATACTTTGATGTAAATACAGTGAGCTTTGCAAACGGTTGTGCATATAGGCCTCTCACAGGGGAAGGTTGATTTGTCAAACAAGCAATGACAAGTGTCTCAATTACTTCGATAACAGACAGAAAAAAGTCATCTGGGAAATCATTAAACTCTGAGGACTAATTATGGCCATGATGGTTTGCTGTTGAGTGAATGTGCACCTGAGGGTGCTGTTATCACCTGTGCTGAATATAGACAGGAGATTCATTAGAGCTGTGAAAGCAACAGATCTAAACACACAGTGAACGGACTGATGCAATATCTGCTGCTCATTACTCAGAAACATACCTTTTAGAAGTAAAATTTAGCTCGGTGCAGGTGCCAACAGTACAGAGAAATATATTAACTACAAATGATATATTAATACAAAAAATAATAATAATCAAGTCAAGTCACATTTATTTATATAGCGCTTTTCACAATACAGATTGTATCAAAGCAGCTTCACAGTGATAACATGAAAGTAGCACAACACAGATCAATAATATTGTTAAATATTAAATAACCCCGACTAAGCAAGCCAAAAGCAAGGCGACAGTGGCAAGGAACCAAAACTCCATCAGATTGGATGGAGAACCCAGGCTCAGTCGGGGGCCAGTTCTCCTCTGGCTTACATTCATATTGTTTATATATAAATATTAAATATAAATATTGTTTACAGTGGCAGCTGGTGAAAAATATCTTAGATGGGGCTGTGTCATATTTGGCATTTTCAATAGTCTGGTAACCATTGTGGCATACACTTCCTCAAGACATCCGTCAAGCATCCACCCTTCCCAAAACCTCTTAAAAACACTTACAAATCTGAATATTACTCTTTACCTCACAATCTTTAAAGGTTCCATGACATGCTTACTTTTGTACGCTTTGATGTAGACCTCTGCCTTGTTATGGATATTGTAAGAGATTAATGTAAGTAACCTCTGAATATTACTTTCTGTCATCTTTGATGTTGAGGGTTTTTTTTTTGTTTTTTTTTTAATTTCTTAACCTATATTGTAAAGCGACCTGGGGTGTTGGAAAGGCTATATAATTAACAATTCTTATTATAATTCATTTTAATAACCACCCAAATACAATTTAAAGTGTGTATAAATTTTTTTTTAGATATATTAAATAATGTTTAGATGTCTGAGTGAAAATGTATTTATCATAAAAATTATTACTGTAATTGCCCTACATTAAGCTTTATAGCCATTTCTGTCAAGATCATATTTTTAAAACACAGTGGACGTCATAAGAGGGAGATGTGACAAAAACGTTATATTCAAGTATGGAGAGTTTTGAGGAGATCCAAAATCCCCCTCAAACCTCCGATCAGGCCAATTCTAAGGGGGGAAAAAATACTAACCTTTTTCCCTCTCAGAAGTTTATATCTCATAGACTTTATATCATGCATTTCTGACTTTATATCACGCAATTCTGACTTTATATCACGCAATTCTGACTTTATATCATGCATTTCTGACTTTATAACACCCAATTGCGACTTTATATCACGCAATTCTATTTATTTATTTATTTATTTATTTGTTTTATTTGAGCTGTAACCATTCAGCTCAAAAGGAGAGGGCCGAAGCAACAGAGCTTATTAGCGCCCCCCCCCCTCCCCCCTCCCAAATTTCATACAAGACAATTTCACATTTCACAATCGTTCAAGGGAACAAAGTGCAAAACAACAACAAAAAGACAACAAATATCTGGTCCTGATTAAACAACAAGCGACAACAAGAATCTGGTCATGGTAAAAGTACCCCTACTGACAAAACATTTCTTCGTCTCTATACTTTGCAAAGATCTTTTGTTTATATTTGTATTTAAAAAGATTAATATTTGAACTTCTTTTTATAACTATCTCCAAATTATTCCATAATTGTACCCCCTTGACTGTAAGGCTAAAACTTTTCAAAGTTGTACAATGTTTCTGCGTCCTAAAGTTTAATTCATCACGTAATTCATAACAACCAGTACGTTCATGGATCCTTTTTTGTATTTGGCTTGGTAATAATTTGTGCCTTGCTTTGAATAACATCTGTACTGATTGGAACTCAACAATGTCATAAAACTTCATGATCTTAGATTTTAAAAATAGTGGGTTTGTGTGGGCCAAAAATCCCACTTTATGGATTAAACGAATAACTCTTTTTTGCAACATTACTATTGGTCTTAGTGTGCTTTTATAAGTGTTTCCCCATATCATAGAACAATAATACAAATAAGGCAAGATCAAAGAATTATATAACGTATGCAGTGCTTTAATATTTAAAATGTGCTTTACTTTTGCAATTACAGAAATACTTCTTGATATTTTAGTAGCAATATATTTAATGTGAGAGTTCCAAGAAATTCTATCATCTATAATAACTCCAAGAAATTTGATTTCATGCCCCCGCTCTACAACAACACCCTCTATCTGGATTGCTTCCTGAGCCTCAGTGTTACTGTTGCCAAATATCATCATTTTACTTTTACTCAAATTTAGTGATAATTTGTTTTGTTTAAACCACATATTAACATGTTTGAGTTCCAAGGTAACTATTTGACACAGTTGTTGTAAATCATTACCCGATGCAAAAATATTTGTATCGTCTGCAAACAAGATAAATCTCAGTATTTTTGATGTTTTACAAATATCGTTTATATACATATTAAATAATTTTGGACCCAGAATGGAACCTTGAGGTAAGCCACACACAATTTCTTGACAACTTGACTGATGATCTCCTATTGTCACACATTGTTTTCTATTTTTTAAATAACTGGTAACCCACTGTAATGCTACCCCTCTGATCCCATACTTTTCCAATTTATTAATCAAAATGTCATAATTTATTGTGTCGAATGCTTTACTTAGGTCAATAAATAACCCTATTGCATATTTCTTGTTATCAACCGCATTCGTTATTTCATCAATTACATCAAGGAGAGCATATGAAGTTGAACAATTTTTCCTAAAACCAAACTGATTGTCTGAGAGTAAATTATTTTTTTCAATAAAACTATCGAGTCTAGAATTAAAAACCTTCTCTAGAATTTTTGAAAATTGTGATAAAAGGGAAACAGGCCTGTAATTAGTAAAGAGATACTTATCTCCTGCCTTAAACATAGGAATCACTTTTGCTACTTTCATACTCTCAGGAAATTGGCCAGTTTGCAACGACAAGTTACAGATGTATATTAACGGCTTACAGATACTTTCAATAACACATTTTAAGGTCTTCATATCCATATCATAGAGGTCTGTCGAGATTTTATTTTTACACCTTCCAACAATGTCCAATATCTCATTTTCCTCAACAGGATTAAGAAACAATGTCTTGGGATTTGTGTCTATTAGCTCATAGTTATAGGACTCAACATTTGCAATTTTTGCAGCAAGATTCGGGCCAACGTCTACAAAGAATTTATTACATTTATTGACTATTGTGTTCTTATTATTGATAATGTTATCCTCTTCTCTAAAATATTGTGGATAGTTGTTTATTCTAGATTTGTTTGTTATTAAACTATTTAAAATGTTCCATAAACCTTTAGTATTATTCTTATTACTATCTAACAATTCTGACTTTATATCACGAATTTCTGACTTTATAACACCCAATTGCGACTTTATATCACGCAATTCTGACTTTATATCTCGCAATTCTGACTTTATATCTTGCAATTCTGAGAAATAAAGTCAGAATTGCGAGAGGTAAACTCCCAATTGTGAGAAAAAAAAAGTCAGAATTGTGAGATAAAAAGTCACAATTACCTTTTTTATTTTCCATTCTGTGGCGGAAACAAGCTTCCATAGTTCCCGGCTTACAGTCGAATCCAAAACGTCGGCTTTTAATGTTGGCGGTGCAGGCTTGAACGGAGTGCAGCTGGGGGGTATTGCACAAAAGCAAGATAAAGGATTACGCTGGGATTTTCCAGTTATCCTGGCTGAATTTAGCCCTGACTCGGTTGCATGAAGGGAGGCTAAATTAATCTACATTAAGTTACTATGGAGATTTACACTTTGCAGCTAGCCTGCTCCAGAGCAGGCTAACAACCAGGCTAAGATTAATACTAATTTATCGTCTAGTTCCTCCCTAAATCCTACTAGATATTAATGTTTTAGTTACTTCATGGTCCTGCATTAAAATACTAGATATACTGTCATTCATCTAAGTATGCATACTGCTATTATAGTTATTATTAAAAACTGCTGTTCATTTCACTGTCAGAGATTTGATGAATATATATATATATATATATATATATATATTATTTGAGATTTAAAGTGTTTATTGGCATACACCTGCAGTGAGGAAAACAGATTTTCCTGAGCAATTATAACTTTGCTTTCCAGAATAAATGCCAACACAATGCAAAAGAACTATACTATACAATATGAGAAATAGAATATAGCCTATGCAAATCTATTAAAATATAGAGTAAAATGTATAGTTGAATGAGAAAAAATTATAGGATATTTTATTGCAGTTGATGAGATAATAAGAAATGGCATATTAAGTCGTAAATGTGGTTTCATTTAAGTCTGTAACAATGTTAATATATAGTATATATAGACTAAAGATTTGTTTTTCATTTTCACAATGGCTTGCCCTTTGGTGGATGATGCAGTTGATGAGAAAGTTTTAATACTCAGACGAGCATTCAGGCATGAAAGAGTCTTCCGAGATATAGGGCAGACCCATTGGAATCACTGGCTTCCCTTTATAGGGCCAGTTATAGGACCAGCTCCTCTGCTGTGGTAAAGTCTTGGGATGGAGGGCCACCCCCCGTACCAGATATATGACTTTTTTTTTTATTGCTAAAATCAGCACAGACGATTAAATGTCAGCAGACATGACATTTAATCGTCACCATGTTCTCTGCAGACAAGTCACTTACCAGCCTGCAAAATATTCTTGTATTTAATCTTGACTTGCTGCTAAGTCCATTTTTGGCCATACATGTTTGTTCTTTAGATACAATTGTTAGATACATGTTAGATGTTATCTATGTTAGATACATAGATACAAATGATAAAATAGATTAGATGGATAAAAATAAAGCAAAATATCTGATTATAGATTACATTAAATCAATTAGGAAACAAAACCTACATACAAATAGATAAGAGTAAAAAGATTAAAGAGATAATAGACATAAAACAAACTAAATACATCAAATTTACACATAGTGGGTAAGTGTCTGCAATTATTCTTCATGTTAAATGTATGTCCACTGGTCACATTTAAGGCAAAGTATACAATTATTTTTTTAAATGACAAGTAACTCCTCGAATTGTAATTATGAGGGTTACAATGGAGCACTGCACACTCCAAAAATAATGCTGGGTTGTTTTAAACTAATTTGAGGTCAAATATGGGCAAACCCAGCTGTTGGGTTAAATTTATTAATTGCATTTTTAAATCCAACATTTGGTTTTGTCCATATTTGACCCAAAATAGTGTTAAAACCCAGTATTTTTTAGAGTGTGGTTATTTATGGATTTAGCCTACGCGTTCAATCGGTCTGCTATTGTTTGCCAGGTATTCTCTTTGTTTTATTAAAGCATCTGTTTTGGCTTTTTTACATATGTTTCACTTCTTCATAAATTCCCATTAGAAGCTGTTGCTCATTATGCGAAAAGTATGCCGCACGCGTTTTGTCCATTTTTGGATCGGTGATTCTGTGATCGATTTCGTGCTCTTTTTAAGAATGCCGTGAACGTCCATTTATCCAAACTATATACACCTGGCTTGACATATCCGCGCGTTCTCATCCTGGCTCAGCAAACGTGCAACGGATTAAGCCAGGATGCACTGATCAAACTTGGTCAAACCGCGATTATTCAGTTATCCTGACTTTTTTAATTCTACTTTTGTGCAATACCCCTCTGCTGTCCTCATCGCGCTGTTTTGCTAAGGGCTAAAGCGCGACTTGTACAACGCTGAACGCTCTCACTAGAGTGTAGCCCACAGCGCCGCCACTGGCCTGGATGGCTGAATCGATTCATAGGATCGATATTGAATTGAAAAGCAAAAAATTGCAATGCATTGATGAATCGATATTTTTATCCAGCCCTAGTAGTCATGGATGAAACGCCAAGAAAATGTTGCAGCTTTTTCAGGGTCTGGGGTATAGGCCAGTTGATCACCGCTTCTACCTTTTTTTGATCCATAGAAATGCCGTCTGGATGAATTACATACCCCAGGAAGTGCATGGACAGCAGGTCAATAGCACAGTCCCATGGACTAAAGCGGGTGCATTGGATTCCCAGAGAGCTTGAGCCCAATTCAATGCTCGAACCGAAAGCAGAGAAAGGATAAAATAAATCTTGTCTCTTCAGAAATAAACTGAGCAGCGTTTACCTCCATGTAGAGTTTGCATTGTAGAAGAAATCCATTGCACTCCTTCTCGCCTGAATATGAAGCTGGTTTGGCCATGGGACTTACTGAGGCAGGTCGACAGTTCTGAAGAACGTGACTGAATTCCGTGAGAGTTTCTTGAAGACTTAGATATGATGCTACGGCTGCATTAGCATGTGACGGTTACCGTAAAACGTAACTTTTACTGAGAGTCGGTTTGGAGAATCCTGGAGAACCACCGCACAAAGAGGCTGCTTGGAATACACACAGAGAGAGGTAAGTGTAGTAGAACAATACTTGTGTAAAGAATACAGAGAATACTGGAGACAGACAGAAGTGTTGGGAACCGGGGAGTTACTATCGCGGGCGTCAAAAGACGAGACCTGACAGTGAGCCGTAGACTGACTGGGGAAGAATGTTTTAATCAAACAGATCTCATTCCCCATTGATTACCATAGTAGGAAAAAATACATACTATGGTAGTCAATGGGGAATGAGATCTGTTTGATTAAAACATTCTTCTAAATATCTTCCTTTGTGTTCAGCAGAACAAATAAACACATAGAGGTTTGAACAACATGAGGGTTAGTAAAGACTGACAGAATTTTCATTTTTAGGTAAACTAACCCTTTAAGGATATTTTGATACATTTATTTTAAAACAAGACAAGACTACTGAATGATTTTAGCAATGTAATGGGATGGCACAAATGATTTTAATGATTTTACATGATTTTGTGCACAGTAAAACTAGGCATTGTAAGATCCATACATGGCTATTTCAGGGAAGGAGATGGGATGGAGACACATGTACAGTATGCTCAATCGTTTGCTGACTGGTCTTTATAGAGGGACTTTTGTGCAGGTTCTGGGATACACGCATGGTTTTGAAACTTAAATATCTTGAATCTCTTGAGCATAAGCAAAATCAAGCTTTCGTACACAAACTTTTAGGATGAGTTCTACGGACTCGAGTTTTATACACGAGGGCCTATCTAGGTCTGTGCTCCTTAAAACTAGGAAGGCTGAAGCATTCAGGGTTGTCATGTTTTGTGTAGCCGCTTTGGTGCTACTAGTTGGTTGTGATGTAAGGCACTATGAAGAATGATGTCATTGTGTCATTCAATGTGAATATGAATGAACTCAAAAATGTATGGGCCATCACTGAAAACTCATATTTCAGTAGATAAACGGTCAAAGTGATTCTTAGGCCCCACCATGTGCGACGCAAGTGTTTTTGGCTAGTTTCAGCCCGACGCAGTTATCATTTTCACGTCCTGCGCCACGTGGTCTTAATAGCAAATGCATCTGCACCTATTTATGTGCCCATGGGCGTGCTGGTCTCCTAAAAGAGGTGTGTTCAGGCGCATTGTTGGCGCAATGCTATTTTGAGGCAGCTGAAAAATGAAAATCGATTTACTCACCCTCAGGCCATTTAAGTCTCAAGCAAACGAAAGTCTGGAGGACAAGCTTTTTTGTCGCATGATTACAAATGCATGGCATCAAAACCACATTTCAACTCATGCCAATGTACACATGTCATTGTGTGTGCGACAGAAAGCTTGAGCCCTGTAATGTTGAGATCACATACAGGACTGCCTAAGGCTATGAATTACAGGTAAAAATAAAATAATGTTAATAATGTTACTTTTCTTGCACATAACGGTCATTTTGATTCATAAGACCTCAATGCATCGTCATTTGCCACTGGTATTCATTTTGTGATAAGCGGCACGAATTGACTTAAATTACGTGAATCACCATGGACCGTGGGTGCAGCCAACAATTATCTTTAGTGTTCTACTGAAGAAAGAAAGTCACCAACGGTACATCTTGGATGGTCTGTGTGTGAAATTAACAACACATTTTCTTTTTGGGTGAACTATTTATTTAACTACAATGAGGGAACAAATCAAACGTATCAAAAACATGGGAACCAGCAAAGCAAATCCTTCTGTCTTATTTGAAACCTACATGTATGTGTGTTAGAGCAGGGTTGGAACTAAACTCTGTAAGACCTTGGCCCTCCAGGAGCTGTTTGTTTGTGAGGTTCCCTGTGTCTTTTGACTCAGTACAGCAATATCTTATAAGATCCCTGCAGTCCTCACTTTAACAGTGGATTTTGGCCATGCAACTATATGAAAAATTTACAAAGCTTTTTCAGATTTTCTACACATTTCTTGCACATGTCGTTATAAGTAAAAACAAATTTTTAATTAATGATTACAAAAAAACTTTTAAAAACTTGGACCTCTCACAAAGTTCACATGTTTTTTTTCCATACAAGCTGTGACAAATGTGTTATTTATTTTAAATAAAAACTCTTCTGAGAAATAATTAACATTAAACTCTAAAGATCAATCACAAGTGGTATAGTTTGTTTTTGAGTAAATGTATACCTGAGGGTGCTATCAACACCTGTGCTGAATGTAGAGATCAAGCATTCATTAAAGGTGTGAACACAAACACAGGTAAACACACACAGAGAGAATACACTGATGCTCATTACTCAGGGGTCAGTTAAATGGTGATTTGTTTTAATGTATTTTAGAAGTTGAACTTTAATTCATCAAGTAGCTACACAAACCAGCATGTGATACTTTTTCAAATACATACGTAAAAATGAATGAATATTTCAAATGAATATTTACGTTTTTGTCATCAACAATTTATATCTATGGACTCATCATTTGAATGAAGCAGATTATTCACACTAAAATGAGTTTGCTATACAAGTACAAACCTTCTGTAATATCCTGTGAGCCCCGGAACTGTCTAACCTCCTTTTTGGTCTTAGGTCTTGGACAGGTTGCAACCGCTGCTGTCTTATAAATTTGGGGACGCACCTGTCCTGTCCATGACCCAAGTGAAAGCCCAGATACCTGACTTCCACGTGCCCAATTGCACACTTCTTTGGCAACATGACATCATGACTTTTGCGTAAACATACACGCCACTTTCGAGTCAAGTGGCGTGTTATCTCTACGGATTTTGAGCTATCCGCGTGTATCCGCGTGTATGTCTGCGCCATTAACGTCCGAGTGATTCCGCGTGTCTGTACACGCCGTCAAATGTCCAGTCATAAATGCCATTAACCCCAGTGACGGTTAGGTTTAGGGACGGGGTTGAGGTAAGTCATATATTTATATATACAGTAATAACGTTAAGTCAACGGCGTTCATAAACGCGCTGAAAAGTGATTATGCGTCTTGATCGCACGCAAAAAATGGAAATACGAATTGGCGTGTCATACACACGCTACTTCATGAGATCAGTCTGTCTTTGGGTTGGCCGTGAGCCTCGCTGCTCGCAGCTACTTCCAAGTACGCCGCGGCATATGCAGCATGCAGCCGGAGGATTCTGTCCATCCAGCGCTGAAAGGTGGTGGGTGCCCCGGAAAAAACGAAAGGAAGGGTGACAAATTGGTGTAATCCAAACGGCGTCGTGAAAGCAGTTTTTTCTTTAGACATTGGAGATAAGGGGATCTGCCAATAGCCCTTTTGTCACATCCAGTGTCGAATAAAAACGAGCAGTACCGAGCCGATCAAGCAATTTGTCAACCCTTGGCATTGGATATGCATCGAACTTCGTTACTGCGTTCACCCGGCAGTAATCCACACAGAACAGTCCGGTTTTAGGCACTAAAACTATAGGGCTCGCTCAGTCACTGTTGGATTCTTCTATTACTCCCATATCCAGCATAGCTTCTAATTCATCCTGAACTATTTTCTTTTTATGCTCAGGCAACCTACCCCAGACAGCAAACTGACATTGAATCAACGTGGAAACGACGTCTCTCATGACATTGAAACAACGTTGATTTTGCTCATCGAATTAACGTTGAACCAACGTCAGACGCGGCATTCTTCAAAGGTAAATGAAAATCGGAAATTGGTTTGCTTTCATAACGTTGAAACAACGCGTTGATTTCAAGTTGATTTTCCGTTAGTTTTAAAAGAATGACGCGTCTGACGTTGGTTCAACGTTAATTCGATGAGCAAAACAATGTCAGATCAATGTTGTTTCGATGTCATATTTCCACGTTGATTCAATGTCAGTTTGCTATCTGGGACATGGCCGGCTGCATACTACCACGCCCGGCTCGGTCTCAATGTGGTGCTGGATGAGGTTTGTTCGACCTGGTAGGGGCAAGAACACATCAGCAATCTCTGTTTGTAAACTCCGAATGTCAGCGATCTTGGCACGGTGAGAGGTGGTCTCCGCAAATGGCCAGAGCAGAAGATTGAGACTTTAAGTTCGGTCACTAACGTCACCAGCATCGCTGACTCCGCCTCATTCCACTGTTTTAGTAAGTTGAGGTGGTAAATCTGATGTGTTCCGTCCCTGTCTGATCGAAGAACCTCATAGTTGAGATCCCCTATTCGCCGTGTGACCACAAAAGGTCCTTGACACTTGACGAGTAATTTGGAGCTGGATGTGGGAAGCAATACAAGCGCTTTATCTCCCGGTGAAAATTTGCGTAGTCTAGCCCCCCTGTTGTACAGCCGACTTTGTTTGTCCTGAGCCTGTAACAAATTCTCCATAGAGAGCAGCCCCAAAGTGTGGAGATTTGTTCTCAGGTCCAGGATGTATTGAATTTCGTTTTTGCTATTCGAAAGTCCGTCCTCCCAAGCCTCTCTAAGAACATCCAGGACCCCGCGGGGCTGACATCCATAGAGCAGCTCGAAAGGGGAAAACCCTGTGGAGGCTTGGGGGACCTCGTGTACAGTGAACAAGAGGGGTTCTAACCACTTATCCCAATTTCTGGCGTCTTCCCGCACGAAATTCCGAATCATGGATTTCAACGTGCGCTTAAACTGTTCCACCAAGCCATCTGTTTGTGTGTGATAGACGCTGGTACGAGTAAGGGTAATGCCCGACGAGGTGTCCATTGTCAGGTTTTAATGGACGACGGCGAGGCGTGAACCGGCCGACGCGCAGCGGGGGACGGTTGCCTCCGCCAAAGTCCATTAAAACCTGACAATGGACACCTCGGAGGGCATTAACCCGCTTATACCATGGTCACTTGCCAAATAAAACATTTTTAAAACTTTAGTTTATATTTTAATTAGGCTAAATCTAGATTTACAAATAATAACTTGCCTGACGGTTTATTTAGCAACCGGAGATATTTATAGTCCGCTCAGCTTTGTAGAACCCTTCAGGTTCAAAAATGCATTTTTTTTTCATGAAACACAAAGGTAGGAATAGTTATTTTTTTATTACACATAAAACAATTAATCAAACAAAAATAAAAAAACACCAAAAAAACAATTAGTTCTGAGCACCAGCGATTTGTGCTTGTAGAGGGCAATAAATTAATCAGATCAAAGAGAGGGTCATTTGCCTGCTAGCTTTTTTATTTACAATTAATTTCAACGTTTCCATTTATAGTGCAATTTGAAAAAGTCGACCAGTCAGGAGGATCCACAAAAGCTGGGTAACGTTACTGCTCCAGCCTGAACAACCGCTCCCCTCTCCAGCCTCTTCTCTAACCCAGAAGCACCCATACATAAATGAGCCAATTTCGTTTTGAACTTTGGCCAATTGGTTCCCAAAATTAACGGGTGCTGGAGGTGCGGGTTAACTGCTACCTCCACACTGTGTTTTTGCCCCCGAAATTGGATAATGACTGGCACTACCTAACCCTAACCCACCACCTCTCCATGCACACACCGAACCTTAACCGTGCGGCTCTTATCCAATGCCACCGGATGAATCAAACTTTGATGGATGGAGGTCTGGTTACAACCTGAATCCACCAAAGCTTGGTATACCCCCCTTAAGACTTACTGGAATTTGGCACAGCTCAGTTTGATTGGGGCGGTCTGTGGCGCGTCGGGGACCCTGACTAATGTTCCCACTTCCATCATTGGGCACCGGTCCACAAAGTGCCCAGGGTCCCCGCAACACCAACAGGCCGGCCCAGGCCTCCCCGCCACCCCAGTGGCAGGAAGTGGGTCAAGCGTTTGGCGTGAGGAGAGCGCAGGGGCCAGTGTTGGAAGGCTGATGCCGGATGACGAGGGTCCCTTGGGTGGTGTGCGCCGGGCGCGGTGGAAAGCCGCCTCTGGACCTGGGAGCAGGGATAGGATGAGAGAGGATGTTGGGAGGGGTTCGCCGACCCCAGGGCACGCCACCCACTGGTCCTCTGCCAACTGGATGGCCTGGTCCAGTGACGTGGGACGGTGGCACTGGACCCCCTTCCCGGTCTTCTTTGGCAAGCGGGAGATGAACCGTTCCAGCACCACCAGCTCGACGACTCCCTCCACGTCGCGGCCCTCGGCCACCAACCATCTACGGCATGCGTCCCGGGGGACCAGGGACCGCAACTGTTGATTGCTCTGTTCCGGGGTCTGACCGACCCGCTGGAGTATGGCGCACTTGAGGTCTGTGTAGACCAGGAGGTTCTGGACTGGCAGCTGTTGGGCGGAGATCTGGGCTTCACCCGACAGCAGTGGGATCAGCCGCATGGGCCAGTCCGAGGATGGCCAGTCCAAGGCCACGGCCGACCTCTCAAAGCGGTCCAGGAAGGCCTCCGGGTCATCCTGGGGTCCCATCTTGTGAAGGGGTAGGGCTGCGGCCACGGCCAGGACCGATGATGACGACGCCCGAACCTCCCGGTCCATCAGCTCCGAAACTGCTCGCGGTCCTCCTGTTGTCCCTGGAGCAGTCTTTCTGCTTCTCCATCTTCAACAGGGCCTCCTGATGTTGCTGATGGAGTCCCGCGAGCGTGTGGATGATGTCCGCAAATGGTGATGACATGGATGTTCTGGCGGCGGCCTCTCCTTTCATCCGGGTCACGGCACCAGTGTGATAAGTTCGAGGTTCGTGGATGGGTGAAGGAAGGAGATACAGGGTCAGCGAATACTGGGGCTCGTGCACTTTATTGACAATATTCTCTCCCCACAGCGCGTCTGCGCTCTCACACAATAAACTCAGGTAGTTCAAAAATAATTCAGATCAAAGAGTACTCTTTCCGCTGGATACAGCTTCCCGGTCACAGATTCGGTAACACTCTTCTCGCTGAACACAGCTTTGTCAGGACACCGAACAGCAACAACACTCTTTCCACTGAACACAGCTTTTCACAGGACGGCAAATCCTCAGACCGGCGTGCACGAGCTCCCAGTTCCTCTCTCGATCCTCTGTCCGCATGGCCCGCTTATATGCGGTCTCCTTACGCCAATTACTGGAATTACAAATAGGTGTTCCTCATTTGCACTTGACCCACTTACTCCCCCCTCGGCTATGTCCTCGCTCTCCCGCTACAGACTTCGCTGAACCACGCCCCCCTCGCCACAGCATCAGTGACACCACAGTTAAAATTAGGGGTGCGTCGATCCGATATTCAGTATATAGGTATTAGTCGGATACTGGCCAAAATCACTGGATATTGTATGAATCGCGGGAGTGTAATCCGATGTGATCCGATCACGGACCTTAGTCCTAAACTGTCATACACATGCTTAACGACACCTGAGAAACCAGCCAATTGCTTCTTAAAAAATAGCAACGCGTTTAGGGGTGGGAGAGGGACCGTGGACTTGGCAACCCTGGCGTCACGTGAACGGAAGCTAGAACGTGACTGGCTGAGGTGAGACCTGTCAGCAATTATCATGTCAGCTGTGTGGAGTTATTTTTAAAAAGTGTGCATTTTATTTTGTGAGTCTCCGCAATGGCGATAGATTAAAGAGGATGTTACTGCCCCCTCTTGGGTTTGTTCATATTATAAGTTCTTTTGTATTAGTCAGGTTAATTTCCAGTTTAACATTCTGACACCAGTCCTGCAGTAAAGTGACTAAAGTAAGCTTCCTCATGTGCTGCATGTTATTTTCTGTGAGAAGTCCTACCAAGGCCAGGTCAATACTAGTTGTCTGACAATATGTCCGGCTCTTGTGCGTTCCGGGCGTCTCGCCCTCTTTTCCACATCTTGAGGAGGCTCAATTGGAGCAGGTTTTGAAACAGTCATTGTCAAATATACTTCTTATGTCTGCACATTTAAAATGGCTTGATCATCAGTGGAAGATAGTCTGTCCAGCGAGGACTGTAAAGTAGATATCTGTAGTTAAGTCGGCAGGTACAGTAGCACACAGAGATTTACCTATAACTAACAGTTATAGGTAACGAACAGTCTATAATTATTGTAGCTTGTATGAATTGCTCAAGCAACCTGGATAGTATCCAAACCAAACTGACTGTGTGGTGTAAATTTAAAGAAAAATGTGAATTCATCATTTTTGTTAGGCCATAAACTATAGACTTAACATCCCCATGCTTATGAATATTTAACTTATGGGTGTGTGTAAAACCAAAGCATCAACCCTCCTGTGTATGACGTGGCCAGTTGCATTTAATATAAATGAATCCACAAAACTGACACCAAACCAACAAGCGTGAAAATCCTCCCACAGCTATAAAATGTCTTATTTTTGAAACTTGTGGTACTCCTAATACATTTTTAAAATGCTAAACAGGGTAATGACAGATGCAGATAATCAAGAAACTGACTACTGCTTTTTAAACAACAATCTGTCATGCATCAAAGAAATCAAACCTCAAGTGGAGTACTTTGTTTTGTACGTTTTCATATCTTTAGCGACTTTTTTCACTGTGTTTCTGAACCTGCTGGTGATCATCTCCATCTCTCACTTCAAGCAGCTTCACACTCCAACTAACCTGCTCATCCTCTCTCTGGCTGTGGCCGACCTGCTTGTGGGACTGATTGTTATACCACTGATGGGCATCAGATATATTGAGACATGTTGGTACTTTGGAGAGACATTTTGTTCTTTGTTTCCATTTATTCTTTATACTGTTGTTTCGGCATCTCTTGGTAATTTAGTTTTTATATCTATAGATCGTTACATTGCTGTGAAAGATCCTCTGCAATATTCAACAAGGGTCACCACCAACAAAGCTGTTTTTTGTATTATTTTAATCTGGCTGTGTTCAAGCATATATTCGGTTATCATGTTATACAATGCTATTTTTCATACAGAGAACCCAATGAGATGTTACGGGGACTGTATTGTTACGGTCAAGTTTGAGTATGTTCTCACAGACCTCGTCGTTTCATTAGTAGCCCCTTGTTCAGTAATAATATCTTTATATGGGCAGATCTTCTGTGTAGCAAAATATCAAGCTCGGCTCATAAACTCTGTCACTAATGCCAGCAGGTCGGAAAAAAAGGCAGCAAAAACACTGGGGATTGTTATAGCAATTTATCTTCTCTGTTGGATACCATATTACATGGCCTCTCTTTTTCCAGGATATGATTCAAATGAATCAACTGTAATGAACATTATGTGTTGGATTATGTATATGAATTCTTGTATGAACCCCCTCATCTATGCACTATTTTATAGATGGTTTAGAATATCAATTAAACACATTCTGTCCCTGAAAATATTCGAACCGTCATCAGAATACTTAACTCTGTTCCCTGAGGTAAATGATCAGTGAGAATCTAAATGTCAATGGCATTAAAATCCAAAAACTAATGGATTTTTATGATGACTTTTTCCATTTTTTTGTGACTTTGTTTTCAACATCTATGCTGTTTAATAACACTTTTAAAACAATACACTGTAAACCTGCAGCAGATACAATTCTATGTCCAAAAATAAATAACTAGGAGAAAACAATATATGTTTATATATGAAGAGTTCAGATGCAAAAGCCTCTAAATGCCATTTGAAATTTTCTTCTTTAATGATGATTTTTATCAAACTTGTATATTTAAGTTCAGTAATTTCACTTAAATAACAATTAGTGAAATTACTGAACTTAAATATACAAGTTTGATAAAAATCATCATTAAAGAAGAAAATTTTAAATGGCATTTAGAGGCTTTTGCATCTGAACTCTTCATATATATATATACCGTATATATATATATATATATATATATATATTACTTGTGTCTCCTTTCCCCCCAATGATATTTATTCCTCTGAATCACAAAAAAGCACAAAGGTTCAACATTTAGACCTTTTAACATCTTTACTGTGACAAAATGTATATTACGAAAAAGAAAATTCAGCAATGCACAATTGAATCCAAGGAACAGAATACTGAGGAAATATTTATAGAAAACATAACATTTATATTAGAGTCTATATCGTGTTCTGCCTGAACCTTTTGTACTATTTTTTTTAATGATTATATAATCATCAAAATTTAGAAAATTGCTTTACTCTATCAAAATAATATAGTACTGCTACAAGGCAAGGCAAGTTTATTTATATAGCACATTTCATACACAGTGGCAATTCAAAGTGCTTTACATAGAAGAAATTAAAATAGGAAATCAGAATAATTAAAACAGTTTAGAATAAAAAAGTCATAATAATACAAATAAAATACAGTAAATAATTAAAACAATTTAGAATCAAAAGTGCAGTAACAGCCGGACGAACAGTGGCACAGTGCTCATTCAGTAAATGCACAGCTAAACAGATGTGTTTTGAGTCTTGATTTGAATGTGACTACTGTAGGAGCGCACCTGATCTCTTCTGGAAGCTGATCCAGCATAATAGCTAAAAGCAGACTCTCCATGCTTAGAGTGAACCCTTGGTGTTTCTAGCTGATGTGATCCTAATGATCTGAGTGATCTGTTGGGTTTATATTCAGTGAGCATATCTGCAACATATTGAGGTCCTAACCCATTAAATGATTTATATACCAGTAATAATACTTTAAAATCAATCCTAAATGTAACTGGCAGCCAGTGTAAAGACCTGAGGACTGGTGTGATGTGTTCATGTGTTCTGGTTCTGTATGAGCTGCAACTGTCTTATGGTCTTTTTAGGAAGGCCAGTGAGGAGGCCATTACAGTAATCCACCCTGCTGGTGATGAAAGCATGCACAAGTTTCTCTAAGTCTTGACTGGAAACAAAGCATCTAATTCTTGAAATATTTTTCAGATGATAGGATGCTGATTTAGTTATTGCTTTGACATGACTATTGAAACTAAGGTCTGACTCTAGAGACACGCCAAGATTCCTGACTTGATGTTTAGTTGTTAGACCCCTAGTGTCGAGGTATGCATTCACCTTGAGAACTTCATCTTTGTTTCCAAACGCAATGACTTCAGTTTTGTCCTTGTTTAACTAAAGAAAGTTTTGACACATCCAACCGTTTACTTCATCAATGCATTTGCACAGGGAGTCAATGGGGCTGTAGTCGTTAGGCGATAGGGCTAAGTAGAGCTGTGTGTCGTCTGCATAGCTGTGGTAAGAGATTTGGTTCTTTTTCATTATTTGGCTCATTGGGAGCATATACAGGTTGAATAGGAGTGGCGCAAGAATCGAGCCCTGAGGGACTCCGCAAGTCATGGATGTCCACTCAGACTTATGTTCTCCTATACTCACAAAATAACCTCTCCCTTCTAAGTATGACCTGAACCATTTTAGGACTATCCCAGAAATCCCCACCCAGTTCTCCAGCCTGTCAAGAAGTATGTCGTAATCAACAGTATCAAATGCAGCACTGAGGTCGAGTAGTACCAGGACGGATACTTTGCCTGTATCAGTATTTAAGCGAATATCGTTTATTATCTCTATGAGCGCTGTCTCCGTGCTGTGATGCGATCGGAAACCAGATTGAAAATTGTCAAAATATCCATTTGAGCTTAAGAATTTAAGTCAAGTCAAGTCACATTTATTTATATAGCACTTTTCACAAGTATCAAAGCAGCTTCACAGTGATAACATGAAAGTAGTACAACACAGATCAATAATATTGTTAATATTAAATAATAAATAAATAACCCCGACTAAGCAAGCCAAAAGCAAGGCGACAGTGGCAAGGAACCAAACTCCATCAGATTGAAAAAAAAAAAAAAACCTTGGGAGAACCCAGGCTCAGTCGGGGGCCAGTTCTCCTCTGGCTTACATTCATATTGTTTAAATATAAATATTAAATATAAATATTGTTTATGTATAAAACAACGCCATAACATATCGCAGGCGTTGAGTTGCCTCTTCACAGGCGTTGAGTCGTCTCTTCACAGGCGTTGGGGCATCCGAAATCCCCGTGAGAGGCTGGACACAAAACTGGACCTGACGAACGCCATTTTTCGTGATAACAGCAGAAAGGCAGATGGGAAATAATTAGCATAGCTGATGTTCATAATGATTTTCATTATACGGGAGTCGGTGTTAGAAAACCACTATCTCACAAACTCTCCGTAACCCGAACTCTCCGCAACCCAACCATACCCGCCGACCCGTTTGACTAAAAGGCTGTCGAGCCCCACTGGTGCGTTAAGCAGTTTCAGTGGCAAACGGTTCCGTATGGCATAACAGAGGACTAGAAGGTAAGCATTATGTGAATGCTTGACTAAAGAGAAGCGTCTTTAATCTAGTTTTAAACTGTGTCAGCGAGTCAGAGGCTCGGACCGTATCAGGAAGGCCAGGGGTGTAATTTGCGGGTGGGACGGGTGGCACTTTTTGCCAGGGTCGATATTGTCCCCACCACTTTTTAAAAGCTCTCGCGGCACGGATAGCTAACAGTAGAAATAAATAAAACATCTCCAACTGGCAGACCATTCGTTTCATTCGTTTGTAAAATAAAAGAAGCGATCTAGCCCTGAAATACGTTGTTTTTTAAATCAAGTGATCAAAGTGCTCCTTGCCGCCTGCGATCGGTGGCGCGGTTACAGTGTATCGTACCTCACGCACAGTCTTCACATGCATGCACGCTTCAATCCATTTCGGAGACTATTTGTTCGTTCCGGTGCAGAGCATATGAGCGGAGTGGAGCGGGAGAGAGCGGGCGGATCTTGGACAGAGCGCAGAGGGCCATTTTTAAAAGGACGGAGCGTCGTCGCCCTATTTCCCGCTCCAATTTCGCTCCGCTGACCTCACACCACGAGTCTGGCAGAGGGCCGAGAAGCCGCCTTTCCACTGCACACGACATTCGCATACGATTGTCGTATTTCACCCCCTGGTGTCAGTCGCACGGAACTTTGAAATTGGTCGTAAAGCAACCGTTACCCTCGGATATTCACAATGGTAAAATTAATGATTTTAATGAATGTAATGCATGCATAAATATCTACACAAAACAAACGACCCTTAATACACCTCAAATAAAAACATAGTGCATTTTATAGAGCTAATTAATATATTGATTTAATAATTATAAAATATTTTTTCTGCTATAGTTAATTATAACCAATATTTTACAGAAAGAGTGTTTACAGAAAAACATTAAAGAGTTAAAATATTTGTAATTCTAGCCTCGCACTCATAGTGTTTATTAGAATACATCACTTCCGGTTGGCCGGTCGCATACGGTCTAGCCACAGAAGTTCAGATATTTGAACAGATCCAAAGCTCAAATCGGATCCGAATTTTCCGCACACGCATATGATCGGAACTCCCCGCAGCTCCCGTACGACTCTCCATTGGAAATGAATGACTTCCGACGGCGGTCGTTTGTCGTGTGCAGTGGAAAGGCGGTTTTCTCCGCAACCACCGCATTAATCTGAATCCTCAGACATTGTCCAAACTTGTGTTCTTGAAGGTGAACTCAAAAGAACTGTAGATAAGGAAAGCAATTCGTTTTCTTGCTTTCTTTTTTTTTTTAAAGGTTTGACAACATAAGCCATTTAAATTGTAATCCATGTGCACTCTGCGCAAAAGTTCAGTTATACGAATTTTGGCCTAATAGTTCAATTAGCATACTTTTAAAACGTTGATGTAGCCTACAGTAGGCCTATAGCCTGTATATTTTTATTTATATATAATTAGGCTCATTGATTGGTTTAATTTTACAGCATTTTTTGGTACAATTGATATAAGCATGTTTTTATTTTATTTGTGCGCGCTGTGCAAATGTTTAGCTATTAAAATGTTGGCCTAATAGTTAATTTACTTTACAGTATAACAGTAAATTAACTTTTAAAATGCCTTTATTTATTTATTTTTTTTTACATTTTTGTTTATACACTTTTTTTATCTTTATTTATATTATTGGGCCCATTTATTCGTTTAATTGTATAGCAGTTTGTGTGTACAATGGAGAGGCTATAAGCCAATTTAAATTTTAATCGTGCGCGTTACGCAAAAAAACAGTTATCAAAATTCTGGCCTAATAGTTAATTTACTTTTAAAACTTATGTATATTTTTGTTTATATTTTTATTCATATTATTAGGTCAATTTATTTGTTTAATTTTACAGGACTTTCTATATAGGCTATTTCCACTGCCACTGGACATGTTGTAAAGTCGGATCTATGTTTTTATTCACGTGTCACGTGATTCATTCATTTACACACATGTCCCACCCACTTTTTAAAACAAAGTTACGCCACTGGGGAAGGCTATTCCAGAGTTTTGGAGCTAAATGCGAGAACGCCCTCCCTCCTTTACTGGACTTCGATATCCTAGGAATGACCAGAAGCCTTGAATTTAGTGATCTTAAGGAACGCGGTGGATTGTAGGGCGAAAGAAGG